TTTTGTGTGTGCGTGTGTGTGTGTGTGTGTGTGTGTGTGTGTGTGTGTGTGTATTGTCTATTTCAGTGTATGTGTGTATATAGACATACATACAATTGCAAAATAACCCTTAAATGAATAAACAACAGAACTGCTCATGCCTGGGTGAGCTGTGCTAGTGTAAGAAAAATGTCTGTAGTTCCAAAATTAATTTACAGATTAATTATTAAGCTAGTCAAACTGGAGGGGAAAATAACATAATTCATTGGGAGGAACCAAATGAAAATCTTGAATCTCAAGGAAGATAATTTTCAAACTTAAGAATAACAGGAGAATAGCATTTCCAGATCTTACACTCTAAAGCAGGGATTATAAAAATTATTTGATGCTCGTCAAAAGTAGCCATTTAGATAAGAACAACTATTCAGAAGTGTTGCCATGTTTATTCTCATCATCCTCAGTTCTAAGCTAATCCTGGGTATGTCTGTATATTTCCTTATGAATTACTAAAATTACACAATCTCTCTTATCAATTACTTAAGCTCTGAGCCCCAAACCCAGTTTCTTAACTATTATGAGAAGTTGCTTGTATCTGTATATCGAAATCTCTCAATTTCTTAGGCACAAGTAAACTTCACAGTTTCTGTCTATATAGTTGCCTTGACAAGGTAAGTAATAAGAGAAAGATGTAAATAATGACAGTGTTTTGGCTGTGGAAGAGCCCCAGGACCCTCTGACCATCACTAGAACTGCAGGTGACTTCTCATCATTTCTGGAGTGATGAGATAACCTTCTGCATGCTCAGGAGTCCCAGGAATTGTCTTGCACTCCCCCCCCGCATAGTTAAGCTCTGACTCCCCCAGCTTCTCTGCCTCTTACAGAGACAGTAACCTTCTCTGCAGCCCCAGGAGGCCAGTCTATGAAGGCTTCTAGGTGGAAGGCAGATCTCACAGTCTAGGGGTGTTTGTGTTTCCTGTTTTTCCAGGGGCAAGATGAAGAGAATCGCCTTCCAGTTCACGCCCTATAGCTGGGTGCGCTTTGAATGGAAACCTGCCTCCAACCTACGCCGGTGGCTGGGAGTCTGCGGCATCATCTTGGTTGTAAGACACCCTGGAGGCTGGAGTCTCTCACTCTGCCTGCATGCCCCCAGCTGCAGGGGGACGGGAGGGGGGTGGTGTCTGGGGTCGGGGCAGGGCTGTTCTTAGGCCAGGCCTCTCGCAGTTTCTCTTGGCAGAACTGAATACCTTCTATCTAAAGTTCGTGCTGTGGATGCCCCCAGAACATTACCTGGTTCTCCTGCGACTGGTCTTCTTTGTGAACGTTGGGGGCGTGGCAATGCGAGAGATCTATGACTTCATGGATGACCCGTGAGTAACCAAGGGCCCAGTGTCAGGGGAGGGGGGTCTACCTGGGCTCTGCTGTCAGCCAGCATTCGTAAAGCACCTACTGTGTGCAGAGGCCAGAACTGGACCTAGTCCTTGTCTGTGCCTTCAGGGGCCTCACCTTCTAGGACAGGGCCAGACAATTTTCAGTCATTGCCACCCGTGAGGTCAGGGAAGACGTCCTGAAAGAAGAGGAATTTGAGTCATGTTTTAAGGGTGGTGGGGTGTCAGGAGGCCGAGTAAGAGGGAGGGCTCTGGCCCTGGTCTGGCCCCCTGGAGGGGCCTGAGGCCAGAGGAGGATGTGGACCTGAGCTGGGGACAGGAGGCCCAGGAACTAGGATAGTGGAGGGGCCCGGCAGGAGGGAAGAAGCAGGTCAGAAGGTAGGTGAAAGGGGTGGGGAGGGGTGGCCAGGCAGCTTTGGAGCTACCTGTGAGACTCACATGGGGAGATCCCTTGTTGTGGAAGAGGAATGGAGACAAGTGTGGGAATTCTCCCCATAGAGGTGGGCCGGGAGGCCGGGGGCAGTCTAGCAGAAGACCCCAGGACAGACACAGGAGAGCAGAGGACCCAGGGGAGGGGGAGAGGGGAGGGCAGGGGCCCTGGGGGAGCTCCAGGGGAAGGAGCCGCCTGCCAGCCTGCCTGCCTGCTCACCCTCCAGGTGTGTGTGGTCACTCAGGTTATCCAGCCCTGCGTGGCAGCCCCAAAAGGGGTCTGTTCAGGTCTCATCCCAAGTGGTCACACCCAGAATCCACCCCTTTTCAGGACCCCCCAGGAAAGCAGTAGTTGGAGTGGGGAATTGCCACCGCACGTCCTCCGCCCCCCCCATTTGAATGGAGGAGCCCCGGATGACGGCTGCAGCAGTCTCCCCAGTGGGGGGGCAGTGTTGGTCATCCCAGACTAAGTGACCAGGTTCAGAGCTGGACGGGGCCCTGAAGGCCTGGAAGGAGCGAGAGTAGGAGCTGGCAGAGCTGAGCCTGGTGGGCCCTCAGCCAGGGGCTTCTCCGGCCTCCCTGCTTTCCTGAGATCAGAGCCCCCCAGCAGTGAGTCACTGGTCCCTGTTGGTTCCAGGACGTTCCATAAGAAGTTTGGTCAGCAGGCCTGGCTGGTGGCGGCCATCACGGCCACGGAGTTCCTGATCGTGGTGAAGTATGACCCCTACACACTGACCCTGTCACTGCCCTTCTATGTGGCGCAGTGCTGGATCCTGGGCACCGTGCTCATCCTCACCTGGACCGTCTGGCGGTTCTTCCTGCGGTGAGCACCTGCCTGGGAGGGGGAGGCCCGTCTCACTGGAGGGACGCTGGCACTGGCAGGGGGCCCCACGCTGGAGGCCAAGCTGCTGCCTCTTCCTCTTAGGGACATCACCCTGCGCTACAAAGAGATCAGACGTCAGAAGCAGGAAAGCCGGTGTGAAGCAGACCGGACCTCAACGGAGGGCAGTGAAGGGCATTCTCCACTGTTGGAAGAGCAGGACAAAGAGGGGGACCTGTGAACAGACCTCTGCTGGCCCCTGGCCTCAGCCCTCCTGGAAGCTTTGGGTGGGCCGCTGCCCTGCCGGCCCACCCCAGGGATGGGCCCTGGATCCAGTAGCCAGGCTCCGGATGGGCAGCGTCTGCCCAGCCAGTGACCCAGCAGAAGATGACAGCGGCCTGCGGGGCGAGGGAGGGGGCGAAAAGGACCTTGGAGCTGCCCCACACCCTTGGCAGCAGTGGCCTGGGCAGCCAGAGGGCAGCCCCAGTGAGCCATGACTTCCCAGAATGGAGCCGAGGCTGTCCATGGGATGGAGGGTCGGCTGGCGGGGCTGGGTCTGATGGCCGAAGGCTGTCTCTCTCCATCAGAACCTGCCTGGAATTTAGTCAGCCTCCAGTCTGGGGAGGACCCTGGCAGGGAGGTGTGGCATCCCACTTGCCACAGAGGAGGGGTCGGGGTCGGTGTCCGTTAGTGGGAGCAGAGTACAAATAAAGAGAAATGAAACAAAGTGAGTCCAGGGGTTTCCTTTCTGATGCCTTGGCCGCAGAGCCAGGAGCCACCAGGGACAGGGGCTGTCCCAGACTCCAGCTCAGCCTCAGGCCCACCCTCCTGCCCCTGGATCCCCCCACCTGTCCGTCCTGTCCCTCCTTGGTTGTTCCCTCTGGCCGCTAGGCTACCACGATGGGCTGAGTTACCAGCTTGTTTGGGCCTGGGGCACCCCTCGAGTCCACACGGGTACAGATGCACCCTTCCTCCCTTGCCAGGCCTCTTAGCCCCAGGCTTGGTCAGGACCCCTGCCATTCGCACATTTTTGGCTGGGTACAGAAATTCAGGCCTCGAACTGTCCCACGGCGCCATCCTAGATTTGAGCCCCAGGTTGACCCGGTGGTCTGGGGGGCTCAGCTCTTGCCTCGGGGTCTTTCCCTTCCCCCTCCCTTTGTGCAGCATCATTTTGCAGTGCCCCTCCATGCCCTCCTCCCCAGCAAAGCCACGCTTCAGCTTGACTGAGCCTCTATCTGGCTCTCTCCTGACCCCTGGAGAGGCCTGGGACCTCCTCGGGCTTCCTGCCTCTGGGATGCCCAGTGTGGCCTTAGCTCTACCCCCTACTGGGGGCAGAGGCGGGTGGCATTTCCAGGTCCAACTGAGGCGTCTCTGAGTCCAAACACATTTCTCATTGCCCTTGTTTCTGGCCCAAATCCCCTCATCGTGCCTCCCTCCCCCCTGGCTGCCTGGTGCCCTGCTAGTGGTTTCTGGCCCTTCACCCCCTCCTCCTGAGGACCCCCACCCATTTCCTGCCCACCTTCCCTTTGCTACTGCTTGAGCAGCAGTACAGTGAAAAGCTCCGGGCCTGATGATAACTGGGAGGGCCCTTCCCATCCTCCCCCTCCTGTCTCCACCGTTTCCCTTCCCTCACCATCACAGTCCCTGGAATGCTGGCAGGGTTCCCTTTGACCAATGAGGAGGTGGGGTGGGACATCAGGCACTCCACAAGGTGTGCGGGAGTTGGGGGGGGGGGGCAGCAGAAGGAAGCAGGCACTCTATATAACAACCCTGTGAGCTGGACACTAATTATCCCCATTTTACAGATGAGGGTTAGGGTTAGGGTGCGGCAGGCCACAATGAAGTGACTTGTGTCTGCCCCAGCTGCCTTAGAGTCTGGAAAGGCCAAGACAGGGCTCCCTGCCTCAGGAGGGCCTTCCCTTCCTGGCTCCTGTCTGTGGAAATGCCCGCAACTCCGAAAAATGGCTTCCCACCCCTGGGAACAGAACCAAAGGGAAGGGAGGGGCTGCTTTAGAAGGCAGTGAGCTCTCCATCCCTGCAGCAGAGGCAGTTCTGATGGCTCCCACTCTCCCTCTGGCTTCATGGCTCAGGCTGCCCTGTTGGCCCCTTCTAAGCACCCTCTGGCTGGAGCTGAGCCCTGAGCTCTGACCATGCAGATCCTGGAGGGGTGGGGATGGAGTAAGCATGTATTAAGCATCTTACTGTTTGCCAGGCTAAGCAATTGTACAACCCCGACATAGGTGCTGTCATGCTCCCCACTTTAGAGATGAGGAAACTGAGGCAAACAGTGATTTGCCAGCTAGTGTCTGAGTCCAGATTGGAACTCTGGGCCCTGGGGCACCATCAGCATGGAAGGCAGCCCACGTCCAGTAAGAAAAGCCTGAGCATTAGACCGTCCAAAAGATGCTTTATTAAAGTGGGAAGTTTGGGGCAAAAAGATGAGATTTAAAGTGCTGGGGCCTCGAGGAGGCAGCTATTCAGAGTCTAAAGATTAGACAAGCAGGAGCCCCCCCATCCTGCCCCCAAGGCCCTCCTCCTCCTGGGCCCCACCCCAGGGGACAGCAGGGGGTTGGCGGGTGGGGCTGGGCAGGGCCGGAAGCTGGAGAGGCCGCCCAGCCTCCCTCACGACGTGATGCGAAGGCTAGGTTTGACCTCCTGCAGGGCCTTCAGTTCATTGTCCACCTCCTCTGTCCAGTAAATGTCAAACAGGCTGAGGGGGAGGTGAGAAGAAGCATCAGGCGCCAGGCGGCTCCTCCACCAGGCTGCCAGCAAGCTGCTTGAGACTGACCACCAGCTGCGTGATGCCCAGGGCCCCCCCCCCCCCAGGGCCCCCCCCCCCCCCCCCCGGCCCCCCCCCCCCCCCCCGGGACTCCCCCCCCCCAGCCCTGGCATCAGCCACGTGATGCCCAGGGTGCCCGCTCCCCAGAGCACTCACACCAGCTGCTCCAAGGTGCAGCTGGGCTCCTTGAGGCTAGCCACCAGCTGCCTGATGCCCTGGTCGCCAATCCTGCTGTTGTTGCTGAGGTCCAGCTCCTTCAGGGTGCGGTTGGTGAGGAGGACGGATGCCAGGGTCCCACAGCACTCATCCGAGAGTTCACAATCACCCAGCCTGGGAAGCCACAGCCACATCAGGGGCCTCCCTCTCCTTCCCTCCTACCAAGAGGGGGCCCTTCTCCCCACCCGCAGCTGCTTCCCTGCTGGCACCAAGGGCACCACCCTGTCCCAATCAGCTGCCAACCCTTCCCACTCCTATTCCCCGCCCCCACTGGTCCCTCAGCTTCCTCCACCCCTCCATCTGACCACACACTCCCCTGCTTACCAAGCTTTAGTGGCTCCCTGTCACTGGATTTGGGACCCCACTTGAGCCTCTCTAGGTACTCAATAGTCCAGCCAAACTAGCCTTCTCATTCCTCCTTGCCATGCCTGTGCCCAGGCTGTCCCTTATACCTGAAACACCATCCCTTCCCTCCACCTCTAGAAATCATGTATTTCCTTAAAGATTCAGCTCAAGAGCTGCCTTCTGAAAGAGGCCCTTCCCAGTGCGCTGAGCAGCAGCAAGGCAAGCCTTCCCCGTTTATCTGCCTTCTCCCAGCTCATGGAGGGCGGGGCCTGTTTCATCCTAGCGCAGTGGGAAGGGTTCAGTGGTGATGCTTCCTGACCCTATTTGGGCTTTTCTGGGCAGAGATACTAGAGTAGTTTGCCATTTCCTTCTCCAACTCATTTTAACATGAGAAAACTGAGGCAAACAGGGCAAAGCGATTGGCCCAAGGTCATACAGCTGGGAAACGTCGAAAGCCAGATTTGAACTCAGGAAGATGAGTCTTGCTGACTCTAGCTAGGCCTGGAGGTGCTTTATCCACTGTGGCACCCCCTACTGCTCATTGGTTGGTCCCAGGAGCACCTTTTCTCCTGGAGGTTCTGGGGTTCTGGGGCCCTGGGTTCTCAATCCTTCCTCCCCACGTAGTCTCGTCTCCCCTTTTCTTAGAAAACGGTCTTTGGCGTGACCACCTCTGGGAGTGAAACGGCCCACGGTCCAGTGTGCGGGTCCTCACCAGAGACTCTGGACAGGGCAGTCAGGGTGCAGAAGCCCCTTGCTCATTTCTTTGACGCCCGCATCTGCCAACGTGTTGGTGCTCAGCTGAAGCTCCTTCAGGGTCCGATTCTTTTCCAGCACAGTGCAGAAGCTGGCGCAGCTGTCCCCCGTGAAGCCGCATGTTCTCAGCCTGCGGGAGAGGGCTCACTGAGGCACCCGGGGGCCGCTGCCCCGCCGGGGGCGGGGACTGCCAGCTTGGGGGGGGTGGCACTCACCACAGCTCCTCCAGCTGGCAGCCGGGGTCCAGCAGCGCCTGGCACAACAGCTTGGCCCCTTCATCGCCCAGCTGGTTACAGATCAGACTCAGCTTCGTCAAACAGGGTTTGCTCCTCAGGACCTGCGCGAGGGCCCTGCAGCCCTTAGCTGTGATGTCGCACTCCCACAGCCTGCAGGGACAGAGGGGCACGCATTCCTGGAGGGTGAGGCCCTCCAGGGACTTCTACCTCTCCCTGCCCTTCACCACACTGACTGCTCTCCTCTAGCTCCTCCTCCAGATGGGGTCAAAGCAGCAAGAGGAAGAGGTTCTGCGTAGTCCTGGGAACTTTGTATGCTTAGCGCGGTGCCTGGCAGACAGTAGGTGCCTCACAAATGTTTGCTGACTGACTATGCCCTGAGAGCCCATCGGCTTTCAGCCAATGCTTATTAGGCTGGTGGGCTACTCAGACACTCAGATCTTTTCCCAAAGGTTCTGTTTGGCCCTAGGAGGCCACTCTTAGTTTCACGGTGGACCTGGGCATGGCCCCTTAATTAGTGTTCCCTCAAGTCCTATAAACCCCTCACCTCCTATCCACAATTCTCCCATTCTCCCAGGTTCTTGGTCAAGGATTCCTACTGCCTGTATTTACAATAGAAGGAAACCATGCAGAAAGCTCCCTGAGGACCCTGGCTTCCACAATACCTGCTGGGAATAGCCCCTGGTTACAGGCCAGTCTGTAAATTCTCCAGGGCTTATAACTTCAGGAAGAACTAAAGCCCAGGCCCAGGCCTACTCACCACAAGGTCTTCAGGTTGCAGGCTGGGCTCAGGATCCCCTGGCACAGCTGCTCCAACCCTGCATCTCCAATCTTGTTTTCTCCCAGGCACAGCTCCTGCAGGGATTCTTTGGTTTGTAAGACCAAGCTGAGGTCCTTGCAATTAGCAGAGGTGACACTGCAGCCCTCTAGTCTGTGGGAGAAAGAGGGGCCGACCTCAGTGAGTCCAGTGCCAATGATGCCTTTTCATGCCGAGTGGGAAGCACGCCGCGTCTGGAAACTCCTTCCTGGTGCCGGGGCCCACAGTAGAAAGTAGCTGGCTTCTGCTCCGGGGTGCTTAACAGGCACCCACACATCAGGCTGTTTTAGCAAAGGCCTTGGGAAACACTCACTACAGTCCTACCTGTTCTGGAAACGGGCAAGGGATGCCACACTGTGGTGTGGCTGTGCTGGAAGACCTGGGTTCAAATCATGCCTCAGACACTTTCTGGCTGAGTGACCCTTAGAAAGTCGCCGAGTTCCTGACGCTAGGTCCCTTAACTGCTAATAATAGCACCCACTGCCCAAGGGGGATGATGGGAAGGTACAGAAACATCAGCTCCCAGGGGACCCCGACGAGATCCCTTCCTGCCCCACCTGAAGCCTGGCCCAAACGGGCCAGCGTCCCCTCAGAGAAACCATGGGCAGAATCAGGGTCACCCCAGAGCAGCCAGGCCTCCTCACCACTGCCAGCCTCAGAGAGGGAGGACAGTGGAGGCTGGGGAGCTCGGTAATGTGCGCTGCTGGGAGGGGCGAGTGGGACCCCCGAGGAAACGAGCAGGGTCTGAGAAGGGCCCAGAGGGTTAGCCCTGGCCACGAGGGGTCATCCCCGCCCCCACCAGGCGGCCACGGGGACCACTCACTTCAAGACCTGCAGTTCACAGTTGGGGTCCATCAGGCCTTGGCAAAGAAGGGCTACACCCGCCTCCCCCAGCTCATTGTTGTTCAGGGTCAGCTCCCGAAGGGAGCCCTTGGTCCTGAGCACCGCAGACAGAGCTTCACAACTGGTCACGGTGAACTCACAGTATTCTAGCCTGCCCAGAAGAACAAAGAGTAATGAGGCCATGGGAGCCCCAGCCATCCCCTCCTCATAGCCCTGCCCAGACCTGCTCACAGGGCACTCCCTCCCTCTTCCCCTCCCAAGCCATTCCCACCCCCCACCATGCTCCGAGGCGGCAAAGCCAGGCCTTCTGTACATCTGGATTCCGCCTGCCCACCTCCTCCACCAGACCTCCAAGCAGGTCCACGTGTCCCCCACCCTCGAAAACCCTCCCTTGATCTGTCCATCCCTATAGCGATTGTCCCATGTGTCTCCGGGGGCAGCTTCATGGACAGAGCGCTCGCTAGGCCTGGATTCTGGAGCACCCGAATTCAAATCCCACCTCAGATGCTTATTAGCTGTGTGACCCTGTAAGTCACTTCACCCTGATTGCCTCAGCTTCCTCATCTGTAAAATGGGCAGTAGAAGGAAATGGCAAGCCCCCCCAGTATCTTTGCCAAGACAATTTCAAACGGGGTTGCAGAGAATCAGACACAACTGAACACCAACCGCCACAAGTTAAATTCCAGGGCTTCACTCTCTTTCCAAATCACTAGTGACCCCATAATGGTCAAATCTAAAGGCTTTTTCTCCCTCAGTCCTTCTTGAGCAGCAGCCAAGTGGGCACAGCAGACCGAGAGCTGGGCCTGGAGTCAGAAGACCTGACTTCAAATCCTGCCTTAGACACTTACGAGCTGGGTAAATCCCTTCACCTCTCTCTGCCTCAGTTTTCTCATCTGCATAATGGGGGCCTCCCAGGATTGTCGTGTGGAGGACATTTTCGCGAAGTGCTTAGCACAGTGCCTCCCACATAGCAGGCCCTACATGAAGGCTAGCTATTATGCCTGACCACTACAGGGGACCCTCCGCAGACATCCCACCAGCTCCGTCGCTGTTGGTGACCCGGCCTCAGCCGTGGGGTTCTCTGCCTCTTCTCTCCTTTCCACATCACACAGCAGGGGCCATCCAAGAAATCCTATCCATCTGATCTCTGCCAGGTCCTCCATACTCGTCATCATGTGCTGCTGCGGGCCAGGAGCTCCTGCCCCAGCCCATCTCTGAATCAGGCCAGAGCAACCTTCCCACTGGCTTCCAAAAGGTCCCAGGTCCACTATGGCCTTTCTGGTCCCTGGGTGCAGCCTTCTGACAGAGTCCAGGTTTCACAGAAGAAATCCTTTTATTAAGTTGTACCCAGCCCGAAACAACTGCTTCTACCCACGCCCTCCTTCCCCTCTTCAATCAAGGCCGGCTCAGAAGCTAACACCTGGCCCCTCTTATGCCCAGTGTGCTGGACCCCAGCAGGGTCCCAGTGTGGCCTCCCTGTCAGACCTTCACTTCCTCTGATCAGATGATCAGATCCTGGGCCTCAGGTGCTCAGCACTGTGCCTGCCTGGCAGGAGATCCGGAGACACCTATTCCCTCCCAGACCCAGCAGGACTGACGGCCGCAGCCAGCCCCTGGGGGGAGCCCGGCCTGCCTCCCCCCACCCCTTGGCTCAGGCCAGCGTACTCACTCCAGCCGCTGCAGGCTGCACCGGGGGTCCATCAGGCCTTCACACAGCAGCTTCATGCCTTCGTCACCCAGGTGGTTGTCACTCAGCTGAAGGTCTGTCAGGGTAGACTTTGTGTGGAGCAGGGCTGGGATCAGTTCACAGCCGGCACACGTGATGCTACAGTTCTGCAGACTGGCAGAGATGGGGACAGATGGCAGCACTTTCCTCCTGCTCCGAGTTCCCCAGATGTGCCTAGATGGTCCAAGCCCGGGCAGGCCTCGCCCCACAGAAGAGGCGGCTCCCTTGGCCCACCCCCCAGTGTAACCCACTGGGGATTCTCCCTGGGCCCGTGGGCACTTGGGACTCACTTGAGTTTCTGTATCTTGCAGGTGGGACTCTGGAGCCCCTTCAGTACCAACTGGGCCCCCGCGTCTCCCAGCTCATTATTGGCCAGGCTGAGCTCCGTCAGGGATGAGCTGGCCTGAAGCACGGAGCAGATGTTGGCACACATGGCATTCGTGAGGCCGCAGTCATCAAGCCTGGCAGACAAAGGGCCGGTCAGAGCGGGGGCACGCCCAGAGACTGAGTCTCTAAGTCCCAAGGGGAATGCGGGCAGGCCCTCCCTACCTGATGATGCCATACTGCTGCATAGACGGAAGGAGCTCCGTCCAGCGGGCACTGCTCAGATCCTCACACTGAATCTCCAGGCTCATGGTGGGTGAGGGAGTGGCACCTGGAGAGGAGGGTGGGGGCAAAGAATGGAGGCTGTGAGCCCCACAAGGAGCCAGAGCTGCTCCAGAGAGGTGACCTGCTGAGCTCCAGGACTTGACAGCCCGTGGCCAGGGCTAGAATAGAACATAAAATGGAGTGGTCCTCTTCTTACAGCACACAAGCCAGCTGGTAATTCTGGGCTCGGGGCCTTCTCTGTCTAACCTGTGCCTGACATTGAGAACCCAATATCCCTGGCTTCTGCCTGAACACTTCCTGGACGTAGAGCTTGCTAGCTGGTTTCCAGTTCTACCCAATCCTCCCAGAAACCCAGCAGAGGGCACTATTGACTCAGCCTGAAACTGCAGGCCCCAACCCCTCCCCCTCTCCCCCATCACTGGGTCAGCGGTCTGAGCCCGCCCACCCCTGGAGCCAAAGCAGCCCGGAGGCCACGGCAAGCAGGAAGAGCAGAGGCCCGATGCCACTGAACAGTCCCCAAGCAGAAGAACAGGTTTGGCCAGAAGGAAGCCGGGTGTGAAGGCTGGGAGGTTCCCTGGGACACCAGCAAGAGGCAGAACAGAAAGGAGTCTCAAAGGACTGCAGACCGCACAAGTTACCTGGGAGCCCGCTGCCAAGACAAACCCAGGAACGCTGTGAACGTGATCACAAAACACTTTTCACACAAACACATCTAGACAAGGAGTTTCTCAAGGGTAGGACAAACTAATACAATAAATGTGATAATTCTACCCAAATTTACTTATTCAGTGCCCTACCAAACTACCAAAGAATGACTGCATAGAGCTAGAAAAAATCATAAGAAAATTCATCTGGAAGAACAAAAGATCAAGGAATTCAGTGAAATTAAAAAAAAACAAACCATGAAGCAAAGTGGTCTAGCCACATCAGACCTCAAATCGTATTACAAAGCGGTTGAGGGAAATTAATACTATCCAATTATATTAACAACCAATTATTAATCTGGGATCCATACTTTTTCCTCGAGGAAAAGCCAGTGAGGCCCAGTAACCAGGAGGCCACTCCTAGCCCCCAAGGCACCTGTGGCTCCTAAACTAGTCGGAGCTGGGCCCCACCTAAAGGGGACCCTCCCCCAAGGACCATGAGCTTTGTTTTTGCTCACTTCATTAAAGTTTAGAGCGAGTGGATCTGTGGGTCTACAAAGAAGAGAACCAGGCAGTGAAAACCAGATGGACTCCAACTCCTTAGGGGCCACAGAAGGGCGTGACTGGCCCCACCTGAGGGCCAGCTCACAAAGACAGACAAGAGCTGAGAACCCTTAGCCGACCACCTATCTGGACTGCAAGGGGAGGTCCCAATGATGTAGCATCAGGTGGATCAGAAGGGAGGCCCACCGTGGCAGAAAACCCCCCACCAGCTCTCACTGTGGGTCTTTGGCACAAATGTGGACCTGTCCCTTATTAAGAGATCCTGTGCCCCTATTAATAAATGATATTATGCTCAGAGAAAAGACCTCATTTTATTTATTGGTTAAATTTCCCCTGAGGCCACAGTCATTGTCAAAACCACCTGGTACTGGCTAAATAGTGGATCCCTGGAATTGATCAGGTGCACAACACACAGTAGTAGAAGTGCCCATAGTAATCTAGTGAGTTCAATCCTGTCTGACTCTTTGTAACCCTAGTTTGGGGTTTTCCTGGCAAAGATACTGGAGTGGTTTGCCATTTCCTTCTCCAGCTCATTTACAAATGAGGAAACTGAGGCACACAAGGTAAAGTGATATGCCCAGGGTCACACAGCTAGAAAGTGTCTGAGGCCAGACTTGAACTCAAGTCTTCCTGACCCCAAGCTCAGCACTCGATCCACTGTGCCACCTTGCTGCCCACAGTAATCTAGTGCTTGATAAAAACCAAAGATCCACGTTTTGGGGGCAAAATTTACTGACAAAAAAAAAAATCACCTCCCAGCCTTCACACCCGGCTTCCTTCTGGCCAAACCTGTTCTGGGAAAACCAGAAAGCAGTTTGGCGGAAACTGGGCACAGAGCAACATCTCACACCATATACCAAGATAAGCTCAAAAAGCGTGCATGATGCATGATTCAGACACAGCGGGTTAGGAGAGCAAGGGAAAGTTTACCTGGCAAACCTACAGATAAGGGGAGAGCTTAGGACCAAAGCAGATAAGAGGATCACAGGAAAAGGAAAGGTGGCAGCTGAGCCCCCCAGCCGCCGTCTACTCTCTTGCTCCAGGAGCTGAAAGGTGACCCAAGAGGAATGGTGCCTTCCCTTGGCCCTAATCCTGGTCCCCTCAGACAAGGGCTCATGTCAAAGCTCCCTCCCCACTGCAGGGATCTGGGCCACGGGCCCAGAAGGGGGAAATTGAGGCACAGAACAAGGCAGCCAATGGCCCAGGTCCCGCCCTCTACCATAGAGATTAAGGGTCCTACACAGTGGCCTGTCCTGAGAGGTGCCAGAAGCTTTGGGGCCATCTGCTTCCAGTATCCCCTCTTTCACAGGTAAGGAGATGGGGGACCCTACCTTCTGGGTTTTCCCCTTCTTCCTTCCCCCTGGCTAGGGCTGCCTCAAGTGTCTGCTGTGCCTCTGTCGAAAGCTAGAGAACTGGGGCAGCAGCAGACCCAGGAGTGAGTGCCCAGGGCCTGCTCAGGTGGAGCCCGCTCACTCCTCCAACGTCCCCTGACCCTGGCCTTCCCTTGGGATCTAGTCAGCTGCCAAGCTCCCCTCCACAGCATTCTCCCTGGCAGCCTCCTCCTCAGGCCCCCTGCCTCTGACCCCTCCGCTCACAGCTCCTCCTCCGCTACAGAAGCGTTGGGGACTCCCTATTTTTCTAGGACCAAAACCCAACTCCCTTTCCAGACAAAGGTCTTCCAATGATGGGGTGATGGGACCTGGACCGCTAGAAGGAAAAGAAACAACCCAATTCTGGAATTTTCCCATACATTCCAGCAGCCCAGATGACTGGCCCACCCCAGACCACACTCCTCAATCCCAGCTCAATTTTACCTGACATTCCTCTGCCCACCCCAGGCCACTTACCATTCCCCAATCCCACTCAGATCCTTTCAAGGTCCCTTTTGTATACAAGCATCAGTCTTGTATATAAGCTTGTATATAAGCATTAAGTCAAAGGTTGGCTAACAATCTCATCAGCTTTATTGGCATTAAAATAGACCAGGGGTGGGGAACCCTCTAGTGCAGCCCTCTGGACTGAATCTACACTTCCCAGAACAAATCCCCTTAATAAAAGGATTTGTTCTGTAAAATTCTGTAAAATCAGCCGTACCCCAAAGAGATCATAAAAATGAGAAAAGGACCCACATGTACACAAACATTTATAGCAGCTCTTTTTGTGGTGGCAAAGAATTGGAAATTGAGGGGATGCCAATCCATTGGGGCATGGCTGAACAAGTTGTGGTATATGAATGTAATGGAATACTATTGTGCTATAAGAAATGATGAGCAGGTGGACTTCAGAAAAACCTGGAAAGACTTGTATGGTCTGACGCTGAGTGAAGTGAGCAGAACTAGGAGAATGTTGTACACAGTAACAGCCACACGTTGATAGACTCAGCCCTTCTCAGCAATGCAAGGATCTAAGACGTCTCCAAAAGTCACATGATGGAAACGAAATGCTATCCACATCCAGAGAAAGAACTGTAGAGTCAGAATGCAGATGGAAGCGGACTATTTGCTCTTTTTTGGTTTCTTCTTTCTTGCGATTTTTCCCTTTGGTTCTAATCCTTCTTTAGATCATGACTCATGTGAAAATATGTTTAATATGAATGTGTATGTAGAGCCTATATCAGACTGAATGCCATCTTGGAGTGGGGAGAGGGGAAAGAAAATTTAGAACTCAAAATCTTATGGAAGTGAATGCTGAAAACTAAAACTAAATAAATATTTTTTTAAAAGGAAAAGAAAAAAATCTGGACTCAGTTAAAAGGCTGTACCCAAGGACCTAGAAGGCCACATGTGGCCTCGAGCCACAGGTCCCCCACTCCTGAAAACCTTTTCACTCCACTGGAAGATCCATTCCAGGAGGACACCACCCTGTACCCTGACATTTTGGGGTTCCCAGCAACCCGAACGGGCCTCCAGTGCCCATGCGGCCCCCAAGCCTTTGTCCTCGATCTCCCAGACTCCTGGCATGTTGTTCCTCCACCCTCCCACAGGAAGCCTTTCCCCCTTCTAGGCATGATTGCTCTCCTTCCCCAATGAGCAGGTTTCAACTCCTCTGACCCCGCCTCCTCCGCATCCCATAAACCCTCTGAGGGCAGGGACTGCCCAGCATCTGGCAGAGGGCCTAGACCCAAGCAGGCAGTTAGCCAATGTCTGAGGTGTCAGACAGGGTGGAGCGGGCCCTAGGCTGCCACCTGGGAACCTTCCCAGCTCTCGCCTGTTCCGGAGCAGGGAGCTGGTCCAGAAGCATGCACTAGTCTGGCAGAGCCCGGGCTGAAGGGCCGCCATCCTACAACTCCCACGCGCCCCAAAAGCCAAGTAAACACTCGGGAACCCCTCACTTGCAGAATCCCCTCCTTCCTTCTTCCTCTCCCAGCCACGCCCCCTTAAAAAACCATCGTCAATCTTCCTGGGACACCCACTGGCTAGAACTGTCACTCTCAGAACTCTCTGGGCTGGCATTCAAGGCCTTCCTTCCTGGTCCTAGCTACAGCTGACCTCCGAAGCCTGGTTCAGCACCGTCTGGGGACTGCCCCATCCTCCGCTCCCCTCCCTTCCCCTTCCCCAGCAGCTGGAAGCAGACCCACAGCTGCCCAGTTCTGAGCAACCTCCTTCTCGGCCAGGACTGCCACAGGGCCGGAGGGCCCTGCAAGACCCTGCTTACCTGGGGCAGGACAAAGGGGAGCCTCCAAAGGCAGAGGGAGATGGAAGGGGCCAGGCAGCAGCTGCTATGCACTCTAGGCCCGGGACATGACTCATGCCCCGTGACTCAGACTGCCCGCCCACGGCTCCTCCCCCAGGGCCCCACCCAGTCGTCCCAGCCTCCAGGGACCTCCTCCAGGGACCTCCACTGGGCCAGCCCAGCCCTGGGTATTGATCAAGGCCCCTAGACCCTCACTGGGAGTAGGGGAGAGAAGGGAAGGGGAAGGAAAAAGGGGCTGAAAGGAGGAGGGAGGGAGGAGGAGGAAAGGGAGAAGGAGCAGGGGGGAAGGGAGGGGAGGAGAGGAAAGGGGCTGGGGAAAAAGGGAGCCTCATTGTATGATGGGGGGAAGGGGGGAAATCCTGATTTCTCCCTCCTGGCCCTGCCCCTCCACCCTGGACAGCAGGGAAAGCTAGAATCCTCTCCTCTCTTCCTTCCCCCCCCCCATTCCACCCAGGAGAAAAATGTCCCCTGGAGTGGGGCTTCCAAGAGCTGCTAATAAGATTCCTGCTTAAGGGAGGAATCCCAGATGTGGAAGGAGGGAGACCTGAACTGAAATCTGATCTCTGATACTAAGCAGCTTTGTCATTCAGTTCTGCTTTGGTTTCCTTCTTGGGTGGGTGCTTATCTTCCAGCATTGTGAGTCTCAAAAGAAACAAACTGTCAAAATGTTACACAAGTGCTACTTATGATTATATTGTTATTATGCGATGATTTCGGCCCGAGGTGGTCTCAGGTGCCACAGAGTCTAATACTCCCTTCTTTTACAGAGGGGGAGACTGAGGCTGGAAGGCACAGCAATACCCCTGGAGTCACCAGGCTCCTGGGCAGTCACTCTACTTTCTCAGAAGGCCCAGGAGGCCACACCAGCCTCCAAGGTACTGGGGGCCTGCAGGCCTTGCAGGGCCACCCCATCCATGCCGGAGAAGGGGGTTGGCAGGCCCCAGCACAGGTCAGCGGTGGATATACCCAGCCTCAGGCACTTATTAGCTGGGTAACCCTGGGCAAGTCACTTTGCAGATGTTTGCCTCTGTTTCCTCATCCATAAAACAGGTATGACGGCACTCCTGGGGTGCCCATTTTGTCAAGTGATTAGCCCAGTGCCTGACACATGTCTGTTCTCTCCCTCTCACAGCAGCTGGGGCGGACCAAGGGTTCCCTGCAGATGCTGCCCAATATGCCCTTTGACCTCCAGACCGGTTCCAGACTTCAGAACAATCCCTTTAAGCAGTCCCTACTGTGCCAGCCGGCCTCAGCTTCTTCATCTACGCCACGAACCCATGACCACCGGGCCTAGCCCCCTGCAGGGGGGCTCCCCTTTGATCTCGGGTGCCGGGCTTATCTCCCCAAACCCAGCCCCGCTCAATCGAACGCCCTGAACCCACCGCCCACTGCCTCCATCCCCAGTGGCCCCGTCCCGGACGCAAGGAGCACGATCTACAACCACAGACCCTTCCAGTCCAAGGTCTGGGGCAGATCCCCGAACAGGGCAATCCCGCCGCGAGTAGCAGAGTCAGGCCGGCTCTCTCACCAGCTTCAGGGAAGGGAGAGCCCGGGCTCCGGGGACAGCTGGGCGCGGGACCACCCCGCGGGGCCGGGGGCTGCAGGAAGGACAGATCGGGAAACGGGCGGCCCGGCCGGGGGGCCCCAGCATGGCCCCCGCCCGCGGGCACCTGGAGGCGGCAGGGACGGGGACCCCCCCGGCAAGGGCCAGCCACCGCAGCCCCGAAAGCCCGCCCAACTCCGCTCCGCGCCGCCCCGGGCAGCCGCGTGGGGGCGATCTCGGGCGCGCTCGGGCGGCGGGCGCGCGCCTTGCGTGGGGGCGGGGCCTTGCGTGGGGGCGGGGCGTCTCGGGGCACGCAATGGCCTCACGCGGGCGCGGGGTCTGCGTGTCTGCGCGTGCGTGGGGAGGAGCGAGGCCCCGCCCCGCAGCACGTGGGCACGTGGGGGGATGGGTGCCCCGGACGCGGGTCCGAGGCCTCAGAGAGGACTCAGGCAGCCAGGCAGGGCTGGCCCCCAGCAGACTCACCTCCGCCTCGCTCCTTCCTCCCTCCCGCCCTCCGGTCCAGGCCGGGCCGCGCCAAGAGTCCCGCGGGGGCGGCGGCGGCGGCGGCGGCGGCGGCGGCAGCGGCGCGGCACTGGAGGAGGCCGGGGCCCAGCTGGGTCCGTTCACCTAGTCACGGGGGCGGGGCTGGAGCGGACGGGGCGGGGCCGGAGCGGGCGGGGCGGGGCCGGAGCGGGCGGGGCGGGGCCAGGGGGAGGGCGGGGCCAGAACTCGTCTCCGCCCGATCTCGGGACTTCTCCCCAGCCTTGGCCCTGAGTTGCTCTATGGTGTTACTTTGTATACCCGAGGCTGCTCCGGCTGGCGTGCAGGGTCCCAGGGTCTTCTTTCCCCTGAACGCTGGAGGGCCTTGACACAGCTGCCCTCTAGGCTGAGCTCGGCACAGTTCAGGGCAGCAAACGTTTTCTTTTTGGTCTTTTGGCGAGGCAAAGGGGTAAAGTGATTTGCCCAAGGTCACACAGCTAGTAAGTGTCACGTGTCTGAGGCTGCATTTGAACTCAGGTCTTCCTGAATCCGCGACCGGTGCTCTGTTCAGTGCGCCATCTAGCGGTCCCGTTTTCAATCCCTCGGGCTGTCCGCCGGCCTCTTCTCAATCCTCCCGCTTCTGGACGGCTCTGCTGCCTTTGACCCTGGGCAGCACCGGATCCTCCCTCTTCTCCGGGTTTTTGTGGTCTTGGTTCCTCCCGGTTCTCCTCCGGCCCGTCTGACTGCTCCTTCCCTTTCTCCTTTAGTGGTTCATCTCCAGAGGCCACCCCACCCCCAACCTGGGGATGTCGGGGTCTGTCCTGGACTCTGTCCTGATTTGATCTCTTCCTTCGTGACCTCGCCGGCTCCCCTGGGCTTCGTTAGCTCCTCTCTGCAGATGACTCCTCTCTTCCAGCCCCACATCACCCACTGCCTAATTGGCATTTTCAACCGGGTATCTCCGTGGACACTTAACCTCAATATGGCCTCAGCCTAACTTTCCCTTTCCTCCCAGGACCTCCTCTCTTCCCAGCTTCCCTCCCTCAGTCGGTCCAAGGTCCCACCTTCAGTCTCAACATTATCCTGGCCTCCTCCTCCCTCCCCCTTATCCCCCAGAGCTGGCCAGTCGCTAAGTCCCTCAGCTCACATCCCACCTCTCAGCTGGATGATGGAAGGAGGCTCCTGGCTGGGCTCCAAGTATTATCCCTCCCCCTCCAGGTCATCCTCCCCACTGCTACCAAAGTGACTTTCTTTAGGTGCAGATCTGACAGTCACTCTCCTATTCAGCCAATTGCACTATCTCCCTGACCTCTCTGTTTGGCTTTGAAAGCCTTTCGTGACTTGGACCCCGCCTGGCTTTCCAGCCTCATCGCACTCTTCTCCCCACACTCTTCAGGCCAAACAGGCCTTCTCTCTGCTCCTCAGCCAGGGCCCTCCAGCTCTCACCTCCATGGCTTTGTACTGCCTGCCTCCAGCCAGGTCTGCATCCCAGATTCCTGAGCTTCCTCCTGCAGGAGACCTTTGCCAATGCCCCTAGCTGCCAATACTTTCCTGCCTTCTGTATCTACAGGCAGGTGGTTTGGCCAGAGAATAAATGGGAGCCTTTGGAGGGCAGGGGCCGTCCTGGCTTTGCACCGCCAGAGCCCAGCACACAGCAGGTGTTTGATCGATGCCTGGCGATCTGCAGATCGCTCTGCAGGCTTTGCCTTCATCCCGGCCACTGCATACACTTCCATCTGTGGAATGGGCACGTTTCTTACGCTTCCCCCTCCTTGGGCTTGGAGGGCTCTACGAATAGCCGTCATCCCCCTGGTTCTGCCCACCAAGACCCATGGCCTTGTGACTGGGGTTCTGGGACATGAGCACGGAGGCGAGAAGGCACAGAGGCTGAACTACCACTCCCAGCGGGCCTCGGGAAGACGAGCCATTGCGCATGTGAACAGGCCTCGGCTTTTCAGGTCTGACTCCACTGGGTGGCGCTGCTGCCCCGCCGGTGGGCGGGGCAGGGGGGAGGGAGAAGGGGGCAGGGAAGAGGAGGGAAGAAGGGAGGGGGAGGGGCAGAGAGGAGGGAGGAAGGGAGAGCGAAATGGGGGCGAGAGGTGGGGAAGGGGGCGGGAAAGCTTCTGCTCCGCCCACATGCTGGAGGGGGAGGGGAGAAGGGGGGGAGGGCAAAGGCGGGGGATGCGGGGCTGCCCCGAGCCTTCTCTTCTGTCTCCTCGGGAGCCTCCCGAGCCTGAGCGGCCGCGGCCGCCCCCGCCTCGGCTGCTGCAGGTAAGGGAGCCAGCCAGCCCACGGGGGAAGGGGGGGGGCTGCGCGCGTGGCTGCGGGGGGAGGGTGCCCTCCCTCGCGTGGGAGAGCTGCGGCGGAGCTGGGTGTGACCCTGAGTGGTTCTGGGGGACAGTGGAGGTGACACCCTGTGTCTGCCAGGGCCGGGCCGGGGGCCAGGACCCTGGTCAGGGCCAGCCTGTGCCAGGGGCCTGGGGGATGGGGATGCAGGGCCTGGCTCTGAGGAAGACAGACTGGGCTGGGCACCCGGCAGGCACACACCCTCCGGCTGGCCGTGGTTAACTTGGTCTCGGCCCCACGTGTAGTGAGCCCGTGGCGGGGGGCGCCCCAGATGGCATTAGGCAGAGGGGAGCTGACTCAAAGAGCTTGGGAGCCCCTCTCACAGACAGGCAGAGCCAGGGAAAGGGGCCCGGGCAGGCATGGTAATCCCCTCAATCCCAGGTACCTGGCTGGTAGGTCAGCTGGGCCCAGGCTCACCGGCCTCACCGCTGTCCAACCTATTGGCTCCCACAGCTGAAACCTTCCTCACTTGCTTCATTTCTCCCACCTTCTGGCCCTGATCTTGTATCTGCCATCTCTGTGGATACCCCTCAACCCCAGGGCCTTCTGGGTACCCAACTGAAGTCCAAGTGGTGAGGTCCCCACTCCTGAGGGCAGATATGATCTTACAATCCTGCCCTATAGTCAGTAGGCAGTTAAGTGACACCTGTTTCTCCAGCAGGGCCAGGGTACCCACGGTGCTCCTGTCTAAGAGGAGCCTGGGCCTGGGCCTGGGCCTGGGGCTGGGCCTGAGAGGGCCAGAAGTTTGGGTAAATGGCAAGCACCGATGAAATCCTCCCCAGCAATGCGTTCTTGAAATGAGGCCCCAGCCCTGGAGACTGTCCTGAGGCTGCCTGCAGCATGAGTTCTCGCGTGTGACCGTGTGTGAAAGTTACTTTCTCCCCCTCAGTGTTGGGCTTTTGCTGGCTTCTGTCCTCATTCATCTCTGGTGAGAAGGGAAACTAGGACCCCATACTTGTTAGAAAAGACATTCAGATAATAGCAAATTGACCATGGCCGAGCAGAACAGCCAGCTCATGAACTCAGGGACAGGATGGCTATTCTGGGGACTCATGTGATGCGATGACGTTCAGTGGTTAGAGCCTCCATTTGGTCAAGAAGAAGCCACAAGTTCTTAACCCCTGATCAGCCTCAGCGGAAGCCCATAAAGCACCTACTGTGTGTCGGGGTGAGACTCCAGCCCTTGCCCCCACAGAGCTGACAGTCTAGCAAGAAGGCACGGCTTTAACCCATCCGAGAGATGAGAAAACAAGATGAGACCAGGGAAGGACCCTTTGTGAGATATGGTGCTGACACTGATCTTAAGGGCTGGAAATCTGGGGCCTCTGTGGACTCAGCTGTTCCCAAACTGTAAGACCTCGGATGGAGGCTGCCCCACAGCTTGGAGGATCTCCAAGGAGTCAGGGAAATGCCACTGTTAACAGCAGAACCGTTAACGCTAACTGTTAATGGTTCTGATGGTAACTCATTGGGGGACATTGAGTTTCCTTATCTGGAAAATGAGAGAATTGCTCTAGGTGATCTCCAAGGACCTTTCTATCTGTGACAGGCTAGAATCCTCTGTGCCTCAGTTTCTCTAGCTTCAATGAAGGTCTGCCTCCCTTCTCTCATTAGCTCAGGAGTGAATCAAGCCTGTCCCACCATGTAGGGGGTTGGGGGGGGGGGGTTGGACCCAGGGACAGCCTGGCCCTAGAGAGAGCTATCAAGCAAGCATAGGGCTACAATGGACGGGGGTGGGGGTGGGGTGGGGGGAGGCCGCCTGCTGTGTCTGTGACAAACACAAGCTGCGACTCAGAACAAGCTTAGCCTAGCCCCAAGAGAGCTCATGTTGTGCCCACTCACCTTTAGGCCCTGGCCCTACCTGCGTGCCTCAGTTTCCCCATCTGAGAATAGCTAGAGTGGTGGGTGATAACTGTAATCCACCCAATTCTTCCCAGAGGCCAGGCACTTTGCAGATTCTTAATGTTCAGAGAAGCTGATTCACTGGGGAGTGGAGGGAGGGTGTGGTGGTGGTGGGGGGGGCAGGAGTGAAAGCCTGGCCTTGGCCTGTCCAGCACACGGGCCTCAGCTCTCTGAAGGGCTGGCCCAGCCTTGGCCTGCATGGCCCCAGAAGTCAGGAGCCAGAGCATCAGAGGAAGGCACGAAGATGCAGTCTGGGCTATCCTAAAGGGGTCTGGGCTGCCTGGGAAGGTAGGGAGCTCCCCATCACAGCTGTCCTCCAGGGCAAGGTGGATGACTTCTTATCTTGGCCTTCTGTGCACTGATCCTTCCCAAGGAACCTGGGCAAGGTTTGGGACATGAGCCCCGGTTTCCCCAGGCACTCACGCTTCTAGTCCATGCCCTTCTTGGAGGACACAGCTCCCAGATGCTTTTCCAGCAAAGCAGCCTGTTCTCTGTCTCCTCCCTGATGGCCTCCCTCCCTTGGGCTGCTGGGATGAGGCCTGGACCTAGCTCTGACTCTCCCTTCGCCCCACCCCCCTGCTCCCAGGGGCTTTCTGGATTCTTTCCTCCTGGAAGCAGATGCCCTGAGGGAGTGGAATGACTCATTGGCAAGATTCCCCAGTGGGCCTGGGGCTGGGGCAGCAGGCAGCCAGCCCAGGGATGCCAACACTGTGTGGAAATGTCTGAATGGGCGGTGGCATCGCCTCCCTCTCCAGGCCCCGAGTTGGGGGGGGGGGGGGGGGGGGGGAGGGGGGGGGGCCAGGGCTTGGGTGGGGGGGGGGGGGGGGGGCTTGGGCAGAGGTGTGGGGGGGGATGCTTGTGCACATGGGGGGGGGGGTGCAGAGGAAGAAGGCTCAGTATCCTAAGCTTTCTGTCCTTGGCTATGGTCACATAAAAGTTACACCTATAATTCTGGACCTTTGGAGAAAGCTTTGTGATGGCCTCCAGGTCCCATGTCACAGGGATGCTCCCTGACCACAGTGGGACCATTGGAGGAGCTTCCATCCTCAGAGGCCAGGGGGGCCAAATCACGCTCAGCAGGTCCAGAGTTAACCCTGGTCTCTCCAAGCCCCTTCCCAGCTCCAGGCCAAGATCCATGGCCCCTTCCTTCCAACCATCCTACAGATAGGCAGTACTTTGGCCTTCAGGGGTAGAGGTCTCTTCCTGGGGAGGCTTGGCTGCAGACCCGGGAAAACTGATGAATCCTCAGGAAGCCCGGAGATGCGACTCAGAAACTTGCATTTGGCAATTTCTGAGTTTCTTGCCTTCCCTGTTAGATTAGTGAGGACAAAGGTGTCCAAGTAGTGAGTCTGCAGGACTCCCCTAATGTGTTTGGGACATGAGCCAAGGAGCCTACAAGTGCTGCCCTCGTGGTGGAGGCTGGGAGGGGGGTGTAGAAGGGAGTGGCTCAGAGTCAGGAGACTTGGCTGGGGGGTGGGGTGCAGCCCAATTCCACACTTATCTGTACTGTGACTTTGGACATGTCCCATCTGTCTCTGGGCCTCACCTTTCCCACCTGCAAAATGGAGTGAGGGGGCATCTCTTCCCACTATGTTGTTCTAAGAGGCAACTTGGTGATCTGCCTTAGCAGGGGCCAGCGGAGAAAGCCTCCTTTGGAAAGCACAGAGTCAGAGGACAGGCCGATTGCTGCCTAGCACCCCAGGGTGCCTCTCTGGTCTGGCCTATGTCTGCCCTGACACTGGTCCCTCCAGACTTCCCTAATTTTATTCCCATCTGCCCCTGCAGCAAAGCTTGCCTGCCCCAGAAAGAAGCACAATTTCAGAGGAAATCTAAGCCCTGGTTTTCCTGCGCCTCATTGGCTAGAAACGTTTGCCCCAGTTAATGTGGCTGGCCATGCTCAGAACCCTCTCTGAGAGAGCCCTGGAGCAGAATTCCGGTTGTCATTACTCCACACCTCAGCGACCTCACTTACTAAGTGGGCCTGTAGTCAGGGTGACAGAGCAGCCTTCAGGCCCCTCCTTGATGGGTCTTGAGGGGCCCCAGGAGAGCACTGGCATCCCCAGGAGGGAGTGGTCAGTAGTGCTTGATGAACTAGGCTGGGGGAGTGGCTGGAGAGCAGCTTCAGCCTAGCGGTGCAGTGTGGGGACGGAAGCCCAGCCGCTGTGGCTTGTTGGCAAGTGAAGGGCAGGGCAGGAAGTGGGGGTGGGGGCAGCTTGACTGAGAAGGGAAGGAGACATGGGTGTTCTTAGCAAGGGGGGAAATTTGGGGGAGTTTCTGGGAAAGATAGAGGGGTTCTCTGTCTCAGCCTGTGCAAGACCCGGTGCTAGGGAGGAGAACACAGGCCCTGCCTTGGCTAAGCTTGGCTTAGTGCAGGCCAGTGGGGAGAGAGAGAGGCTCTGGGCCCTTGTGGGGCTCAGCTCTGAAACAGGAAGACCATGCTGAGGGCCGAGTCCTGGCTTACCACCCACCACCCACAGATACCTCTTCTAAACACCGAGGTCTGGGGCCCATGAGGGGGGTAAAGGAAGGAGGAGGGGCTGTGAAGGAAAGCCTCAGGGAGAAAGTACCGTTGGACCTAGGCTTGAAGACCAGCTAAGAAGCTAGGGAAGAAATAAAAAAAAGAATGAGGGGCAGCTAGGTGGCACAGTGCATAGAGCACCAGCCCTGGATTCAGGAGGATCTAAGTTCAAATGTGACCTCAGACACATAACACTTACTAGCTGTGTGACCCTGGGCAAGTCACTTAACCCCATTGCCTAACCAAAAAAAAAAAGCTGGGGAAGGCCTTACCGTGTGTAGAGAAAAGTGGGAGCAAATTTCAGAGTTTGGGGGAGTTATGGGGAATGTGGCTTCTGGATTTTGAGCTGGCTTTCAGAGGCCTGAGGAGGTAAAACTACTCTCTGAGGTCATACCCAGGGCCCCTGCCTCCTAATCCAGAGCTCTGCCAGCACCTGGGGTCCTTCAGTAGGGCCTCAAAGGATGAGCTAAGAAGTTGCTCTCAGCAGGGAGAGCCGTGGAGGGCTTTGGCTCAGGGAGTGACCCAGTCAGAGCTGGACTTTGCCTGGAGGATGGGAGCAGGAAGGACAATGGGAGGAGAGGAGCCTATTGGAGGACCTCCCTGCCCTCAGCACCAGCTAATGGGGGCTGCTCAGGCTCCACAGGTGGAGCTGTGCCTTCCCCTGGCACTGTCAGCTTTTATATAGCATGTGTTTAAAAAAAACAAAACGTTTTATCCTTACAACAAACTTGAAGTGGGCACATTTTACAGATGAGGAAACTGAGGCAGAGAGAGGAAGTGACTTGCCCAGAGTCACACAGCTACCAAGTGTCTGAGGCTGGATTTGAACTCAGATCTTCCAGACTCCGGCTCAGTGCTTTGTGCATTCTGGCGCCCCCTAGTGGGTCCAGGAGAAGCTACATCTGTTAAGATGTTAAGATGTCTCTATCCAGCCAATGACCTTTCCTAAGACAACTTCATTCTAAGAGTGAGCCAGGAGGAGGCAACTCTCGTTTGAAAAGAATGTGCTTGATTGATGCAGTCTTTAGAAACAGCGCTGCCAGGACACCTAGCTGGCGCAGTGGATGAAGCTCCAGCGCTGGAGTCAGAAGGACCCGAGTTCAAATCTGGCCTCAGACACTGGACACTTACTAGGTGTGTGACCCTGGGTGACCCAGATTGCCTTGCAGAGAGAGAGAGAAACAGTGGCGCCCAGCCCCCGGAGGAGCCTGCTTTGTAACAGTTCAGATAAATACATCAATACTCTTTCTGCATGTGATGGCGTATGCCTCATTCTTCACCTCTGGTCTACCACCTGTCTAACAAGGGAAGAGGAGAACTCTGGAGTTAAGATTGGTCAGTGTGTGTCTGTTGTGTACCAGTTTGTAGATGTCTTCCCACATTTCTCCAAATTCCTCGCATTGGTCATTTCTTACCTATGGTGATGTTCCGTGACACCCACATATTGCAGTCTCTTCACTCACTCCCCAATTGATGGGGCTGCCTATTTGTTTCCAGGCCTTCACTGCTTCCCAAAAGGCTGCTGGAATATTCTGTGTGAGGCCTGTATATCCATCTTTGACCTTGGGGTATAGGCTCTGTGTTGGGATCACTGGGTCAAAGAATATGAACAGATGAGTCACTTTTCTTAAATGATTCCAAGCTGTTTCCCAGAAGGAACATAGCATTTTACAGTTCCACCAACCATGTGTGAGTATGTCAGTCTCCCCTTAGCACCTTCAACACTGACTCTCTGGAGTGTCTTTGCTAATGTGCCAAATGGGACATAAAGCCTCAGAAGCATTTTCATTTGCATCCCTCTCATTAGTAGTGAGTTGCAGAATTTTCCCAAGTGGGAGTGGATCATTTGTATCTCTTCTAAAACTGCTCGTGTTTTGTGGGCTCTTAGTCTGCCGAGGTGTCAGGCTTTCCCAGGGAGATGTAATGCATATGTTTCTTTTCCCCCATTGATGGCATTCCTTCTTAGCATTGCTGCATTGATTTGGTTTGTCCCACAGCTTTTGCACCTCTCTCTGACTCTTGTTCAGCTAAGGATTCTCTGCCTTTAGCTTGGGTCTTCTGCCAGCTGGGCCTTGGAAACCCCCTTCTATGGATGAACCTGCCTTTACAGAATAGGGGAAGGCGCAGGGGTCTGAAGATGGATGTCAATGGGCAGACTTCAATGAGAAAAGGAAAGATTTCAAGTAGATGCCTATTAATTCTAGTAGAAGTCAGCAGTTCCTGAAGCACCTTAGAATATTGTTTAGGAAAGGGACTTTTCTTCAATACCCTGGCTTCAGGTAGCACGAAGAAGGCATTCTTTCCAAGGAAAAGCCTATTCTAAGGAGAATCAAGCCAAAGCCATTGAATTCACTGTTGCCTTGCCATTTAAGGGAGAAAGAAGATGGGGACTTTTGGAATTTACTCGGAAATAGAATGATATGAAGTCATGTCGATGTCAGTACTTTCCCACTCCTAATATTATGGGTCTGTCAGTGCCAATGGTTCTGCCAATGACTTGTGAAGGACCCCAGGGAAGGTCTACTGACACATCTGCAAAATGAGGGGGTGCCATTCTCATGCTGGAAGGACCTTTGACTTCCAACTGCTTCATTTTACAGGAGAGAAAACTGAGGCCCAAGGACATTAATTAACTTTCCCAGGGACGTAGTGTCCAAGACAAGATTCAAAACCAGGTTTTTCTGTTACCCTGCTCTTCAGTCACATGGCATAGAGAGCATTTGTGAAATTCTTTTTAAAGTGTTCATAGTAAAGCACCAGGATTGTCTGGATGCCGCCCTCAAAGGCTGGAGGAATTCAAGGTGACCAGCGGCAGGGGGGTGGAACTAGGGGTCAAGTCGGATGCCATCTGAAGAAGTGCCTTCAGTGGTTCTCTCCTGCTGAGTTCTGCCTGGGGCACTGGGATCCAGACCTGGTGATGACCCTGAGCAGATGGAATCTGCAGGAACACCCGTCGTCCCTCGGCAGGGGGCAAAGGGAGGCCAGGCCTGTTCCTCCCTCGGTCCTCTTCCTTCTCCTCTCTTCTTAGGTCTCCTCCTGCCCCCTTTGCATCCTGCCTCTATTGCATTCTGACCCAACGTGGAGACAATGGGGTCTCACTAGGCTGGCACGGGAGTCTGCTTCCTGGGTTGGGAAAGGAAGGTGCGCTTGAGGAGCAAGGAGTATTGGGTCAGGCCCAATTGGGCTTTTGCTACGGTGCCCTCGGGGCCCAGGATCACGTGGCTCCCTGGAGCAGACCTCCCCACAGCTGGACCTTGTGGCTGTTTGTTCAAAGCCTACTACACACGCACCATTTTGTACTGAGCCCAGCCGGTCCTGCCTGGCTCACCAACTCTCAGCAGCCAGATAGCCTGACTTGTACCTAAACCAGAAAGTCCTTATTCAACAAAGGGTCACATTGTTGTGTGAAGGCCTCTGGTGACACTCACCTCACTGCTTGTGGAGGCAGCCCGCTTTGCCCTGCATCAAACCTGATGGACTTTCCCCCGTCATGTCTGGTTCTGCCTTCTGGAGCTAAGCAGAACGGTGCTGATCACGCCCCACCTTCCCCATGGAGGCCCTTCCAGTGCTGGAAGACAGATCTACTGACTCTCCCTGTGTCTTCTCTTCCATCACAGGGTTGCCTGTTTTTCTTGGGCTTCCTGGGTCATTGGCAAGAGATGGGCACTTTCCCCTGGGTGGGCCCAGCCGCCAGGACAGGTCATCCTGTGAAGATGGCTGTGGTATGATGGGGGCAGGGGCAGCACTAGCTGGGGGTGGCCCCCTCCCCTTTCCACCCAACACCCACACACATATTCTCTGTCCTCCTCCTTTCTCTGCCCCATGGGCACGAAGGGAACTTCCCCACTTGCCTAATCCCTCTCCCCACCCCTCCCTGGGTTCCTGCTCTCTTTCCTGTGACTGCACTGAGAGGGACCACTGGCAATAATCACACATCTGGGATGTCATTCTCAGCCCTGCTTTCCTCCGAGCCTCAGCAGGGCCCTGGGTTGGAGGCAGGGGTGGGGAACTACGCTTGGGGCGATCTCTGTGACTCCAGGTCCAGCGCTCTGGCGACTCCTCAGCCCAGCCCAGATCCAGTGGGGGGGGGGGGGGGGGGGGGGGGGGCAGGGGGGGGCGGGGGCCCCGCGGGCCCCGGGGGGCGCGGGGGGCGGCGCCCCCCCGGGGGGGGGGGGGGGGGGGGGGGGGGGGGGGGCGGGGCTAGGGCATGGAGAGGAACTGATCAGGACAGCCTTGATCAACTGATTAATTTCCCCCCAGCCCAGCTGATGAAATTACAAAGTGAATCAGTGAGTCTTCATGGCCTGGAGCTCAGCACAGTGCCTGGCACATAGTAAGTGCTTAATGTTTGTTGACCTTTCTGGGCACTTTCCTCTCTGGGTTTTGGGGCCACTGGTTTTCCTCCTACCTTTCTGGTTGCCTCTTTATCCAGGCCTCTCCTGATAACTGGATATCCCCAAAAGACTCTGTCCTGGGCATGTGTCTCTTTTTACACCCTCTGTCTTGGTGACCTCATCAGCTCCCACGAATCCACCTGTCATCTCTGCGCAGACCATCCTTACATCCCTGTCTCCTGCTCAGCCCCCAACCTTGCATTTCAGATGTCTCGGCCCGGGTGTCCAGCAGACATCTTCAGCTCAACATGGCCCGAGCCGAATGCCTTCTCTTCTCCTGCTAAGCCCTGCCCCCTCCTGTCTTCCCCCCCGCCTCCCCGTCCCCAGGACCGCAAACCAGGTGTCACTCTGGCTTCCTCACACGCTCACCCTAGATCTCATCTGTGGCTGAGGCCTGTGCCTCCCAGCATCCCATAGCCATTCTCTGCTCCACAGCCCCCTTCAGGCCCTCCCCATCTCTGCCCTGGACTCTTGTCATGGCCTTCTCATGGGCCTCCCTGCCTCTGCCCCTCCACGTGCCAGCTTCCTCGCAGCTGCCGCGGTGATCCTGCCTCCATTCCTGTTTGGGCCTTTTGCGCTCTGGCTGCTGCCTGCTTCTCCAGGTGGTTCCGGCCTGCTGCCCCCTCCCTTCCTCGATGCCCTGCCCAACTGGAGAGCCTGCTGCTATTTGTGTATGGTACTCCATCTCCTGCCTGGGACTTTTGCCCATACTATCTTATACAATACGTTATAGTTTTTATTTTTTGTTTTCCTATTTTGTGTATTCCTATATCTACTTCTCTGTGAACATGTATACGCGGTAGAGTCTAAACTCCCAGAGGGCAGGAATGCATTCACTTTGATGATTGCACTCCTAGCACTTGAAAGCACATGGTAGGCCAGTCGATCAAGAGACAATTATAAAGCACCTACTCTGTGCTAGCCACTGTCTAAGTAGTAGGTGCTTTAAAGATATTTGTTGGTTGCCCACCTGACAGGTCCCCATTTGCCTTCCTTGGCCAGGGGCTGCTGTAAGTCAGATGCAGCTCCAAAACCTTGGAAGCCACGCCTTACTGTGGGAGGTCCCTATGGAAGTGGAAGGGGAAGCTGGCCAGGACAGGACCCACTAGGGGCAGGCTCCCGCAGTCCCTCCAGCTCCCCAGACTTGGGCTCCAAGGTAGAATGTGGCCACCAGCAGTGATTGCAGGGGATGGGAAACAGCATTCCTACTTGGGTTCTGGATTTCCAAGAACTGGGTCATTCTGTGAGGGGTTACCAGGACGGTCAGCCAGGAGGGTGTAGGATTACCCGGGGAGGTGACCCAGTGTCCATCAACAGAGGGAGCTCTGGGGTGCGGGGAGAGCGAGGCTGGACAGGTCCCAGGCTCCCTGGGCTCCTCTCCCAGTTCTCGGCTAAGTCTCTTTGCCCTCTCTGTGCCTTTCCAGGCCTTACGTCATCTGTATGATGAGGGCTTTGGATGGGATGACTTCCAAAGTCCAACCATCTGTGGTTCTGTGACTTCCCTGGAAGGGCAGTGTCTGCCGTGGCCCTCCAGGGGGAACCCAAGGAGGGCTGCCTTGGGGCCTGGGCTCTGGGAAGCTGGAGCCCAGCAGGTCCTGGCGCTTGTGGCCTCAGCAAGGCATGTTCTGGGAATGACCCTTCCTTCTGGCTGCCTCGTAGCCAGATCCTGAGGCTGAGCACGCTGTACTGTCTGAGCAGTTCATGTGAAAGGAGATGTCGTAGGCAGAAGCGATCCCTGGAGATGCTGCCACAGACAAACGTTCCTTTCATTTCTCTGGAAGGAGCTGGGACAGTGTCATCAGGCAGTGCCTGGCTGCCTCAACCCTCTCCCCCAAGAGGGGACAGGCTTGGGGGTGGTGTGGACTGGGAAGGACAGAAGGGGGCCCCCCATCAGGTGGGGCAGCTACAGCCCTGGCTGGCCGGACTAGACTGAACTGTTCTGATGTGGAAGGTGATTCAAGGTCATGGTGGCAGGCATCTTCTGACCCTCACATCTGGGGCTATGTGGCTGGGATTACAGCTGTCCCCCCAACTTGGCTTCCAAGAAATGGGCCTTCTGTAACCTGAGTCCTGCCCTGGGTGAGTGGGTGGGAATGAGGGAAGGACCATTCGGTCTGTGGACTGGCCATTACATAGGCTGGTGGGTGGTTCCTGAGGTCGATATCAGTGTGCTTGCTTTCCCAGAATGGAGAGGGAACCCACCCCCACCCCTGCCCCAGTGGCTTTCCTTTGTGTGGCTCCAGCTACTGTCTGGGGCTGGGGAGAGAGATTGTCAATGGGCTCAGAAGAGGGGCCACAGAGACAGTTCAGATTCAGCAGTCTCAGAGAACCAGGCTCTTGCTTCCTGGATGCTGATCCAGAATGTGCATTCCCCCTGCTCAGGGTCAGGAGCTGTCTAGGGCTGGACTGAGATGTCCAGCCATGTTCTGGTCAAGGCAGCTCATAGCACAAGCCATCGAGGCCCTCCCTAGACAAGGGCCCTTCTCCCCCATTTCCAGGAGGCCTCACCCCTTTCCCAGCCGAAGCCTTTAGGTCTGGAGAGTGAGTACTGACCTGGACGTGGTCACTGCACTTGGCAGGAATTGAGTCACTGGAGAATCTTGAGAGAGGGCTAAGAACCCAAGCCAGGCCATAAGGTCCTAGAGAGGAGCGGCAGGGTTGGCGTGAGGCCAGCGAGTTGGCACAGGAGGTGCTGGCCATACTCTGAGGAGAGTGGGGGGGGGGGGGCCAGAGAAGACTGTTGGTTGGTTTTTAAAGATCAGGCTTCCCAGAGCCCATTGGAAGGCATCAGGGAAGGACGCTCACCCTAGCAGCAGGCCTAGCCACCACCTGGAGCAGGCTGCCTTGTGAGGTCCCTGTCACTGCAGGATCCTAGGCAGACCTAGATGGCTGCTAATGGAGGGATTCTCATTCAGGTACCCACCAATGGTCCCACAGACCTTTCCTGAGCACTCACTGCACACTCTGAGCTGTAGGCAATGTGATACAGAGACAAACGCAGTCTGCAGTCTGACATCTGTGACTGGGAGGCTCACCCACATGCCCACAAATACCCCTAGCCCTGGCATATGGCCACACCCACATAGATGTGCTCACACACACATACGAACAGACCCAGCAAGCTAGCTTGGACCTCCTGCTGTCAAGCCTCAGAGCTCAGGCAGAAACATGGGCTTGGCCCACCCACCCTGCAGGGACAGGATGTCCTGGTTAGGTTTTCTGTCAGAGGTTAGTCTGCGGTTAGTCTGCCCTAAAGCCTTCAGACTGTGGGCAGCCTGCCTGGGTGTGGAGAGCATGGGACATGCTTACAATCAGAGGATCTGGATGCAAAAACTGCCTCTCATGGTTGGAGGCAGTGTAGTACAATGGATAGAGCACTGGACTTGGAGTCAGGAAGACCCAGGTTCAAATCCTGCTTGAGGCCCTTCCTAGCTCTATGAACCTGGACAAGTCACTACTCCTCCCTGGTTCTCAGTTTCCTCATGTGTAAAGTGAGGGGGCTGTGGTCCTTGAACTGTACTCTTTTGAAGGGCAGGGCAGTTGCCAGACCTGGGCTTCAGATGGGGCCTCCCTGCCTTGGCTTAGAGGCATCTAAGCCCCCATCATCACCACCCCAGCCAGATTCCTCTTCTCTATTGTGGTTCCCTATGCCTGGCAGGGGACAACCCCTCCTGGCCAATGTCCTCAGAACCATGGACTTATGTGACCACAAATACCTACTGTTCTTTATGAAAGAGATTAGCCCATCCTAACCTCCAAGGCTGGCAGTCCTTCCTCAGCTGAGGAATTCATACCTGACCCTGAAGAAACATGTTTGTTTCTTCTTGCCCACCCCCATCCCCAATTTCCCTGCAACTCCAGCCTCTCTGGGGCCTGGGGAAGAGGTAGGCCAGGCTGTGGGGCTTTCCTCTCTCAGAACCTTTTTGCCTGTTCCCAGAACAGGTCACCCAGGAATGGTTTGTCTTTGTTCCCTCTGACCCACCTCTCCTAGACCCCTCTCTTATAATAAATTCGTCCAGTCAAACCAATGGACACATTTGCCGTGCCTGACACTGTATGCCTCATTGCACACCTGTTGTCCAGCACCTCTTGGAATGGAGTTTTCTTTTCTGATATAAATTGTCTCCCCGGTTCTGCTCTCTTCCCTCTGTACCAGTACAAGCATGTGTTTCTTAGGTTCTCTGAGTCTGCCGCATTTGTCACTTCTTACAGGAGAGCAATCGTCCCTCACTCTCCTGGAGCAGTTTGTTTCTACATCCCCCACTTGGCTTCTGGTCCTTTGCTATACACTGCTGTCAATCAATATGGGTGTCTCTACCAGACCCATTTCCCTTTCTTTGCCCTCCTTGGGTTATGGGCCTCTCTGGGTCCAAGAATTCAGATCTGGATAGTAGCCCCCTCCCCTTTTTAAAATTATACTTCTCCACTGTTTCCCAATGGGCTGACCCAACTTGCAGCTCCACCAGCAGTGTGCTAGTGCCACTGCCCGCCTGCCCTCTTCTGGGGTCTCTCCAACAACTGGTGGTGTTCTCTTCTGCCATCCTTGCCCATCAGAGCAGTGAGGTAGAGCCTCCAGTCACTGGTCTCACTCTTTTCTGGAGTCTGCATGGTTTGTCTCTCTTGGGGACTCATTAACTCTTTCAGGCAACAAGCATTTATTAAGCATCTGCTGTGTGCCAGGCCCAAGGTACTGGAGCCTACAAGGAGCTTGTGTTCTACTGAGGAAAATAACACATGCACAGAAATATCAAATAAAGTAAATCAGGGAGGGCCTCCTGAGCAGGTAGGGGGATTAGGGAAGGCCTCGTGTAGGTGACATGAGAAGTGGAAGTGAAGAGGGAGTATACTCGAGCCATGGGGGATAGTCAAAGGTGTGGAGATGGGGGATAGTCAAAGGTGTGGAGGTGGGGGATAGTCAAAGGGGTGGAGGTGGGGGATA